TGGCCATGTGACCACGGAAGATTGTCTTCGGACAAACGCTGGCTCTATGGCTTGGAAATGGGGATGAACACCGCCCCCTAGAGTCAAACACGACTGGACAAAAATTGTCAAGGGGAACCTTTACCTTTACCTAAATTACATGGAGAAGCTATATAACAATAGCTCCTGGCTTCTGGAGGGATCAGGGCCAGCAAGAATGTCATACTCCCCCAGTGTCCGTAAAACTCAACACAGGATACATAATTATTTCACCAGAGTTTGGGAAAAGTTACCTTTTGAACTACAACTTTCAATGTCCTGTAGCCAGGATTGCTACTGCCCCTGCTGGCTGGATGTTGTATTCCAAAAATATATGGTACATTTTTCCAAGCTGTGTACTATTTCATTCTCTTAAAGAACAACAAGTGTCTCTATTCATGTGACTAAAAAGGGAGTCATTGGGGGGGGGGATATATTTTTTTAATGCAACCAGAAGGAAGAAGTCTCTTGTCTGGAGTTATTTTTGCAAATCAGAGGAGGAAGAAGACTTGGCGGGAAGAGCAGGGAGGTTGTTTATTCTGCTTCCTTTATCTCTAGAACCTCTGCTCAGTCTGCTTTGTAAAGATGATGTGTGTGCATACTATTCCTCATACCTAAGAAAAACATAAAAGAGACGGAAGGGAGGTTGTGAAACAGCTACACAACAGGCATGTTTGTGAGACAGTTTCATTTGTGTTAGCCGGATGTCTGTAGAGTAGACACATATGTGGAAACTTCCAAGATTTTCTCAACAAAGGTTTTAGGTAGAAAATATATTCATTTATTAAGCCTCTTTCCCTCCCTGTTTCCATGTCTTGGGGGCTATTTATAAACAAGAAAACAGTGTTGCAAGGCAAAATGACAAATAATGTCATGCCTACTTTGACTGTAAGTCGGTCACGAGAAGACTTAGCAATACTGAAGCTCTTGAAGTACAGAAATCTGGTAGAAGACCAATAGCCTGGTTGTTTTCTTCCATGTACTAGTCATTCAAGTACTGCCATCATAACTGTGTATTACAGACTGCAAAAAGGAGCCGAGGAGTGGGATCTCCACATTTGTTCCTGCACAGAACTTAACTTCTGTGCTTCTTTACCGCACATCTTGCAACCTAATGGTCACTGCTATCTAGTAGTAGTAGTGGTAAGAGGCAAGGTAGGGGTGGATATTTAATTATGCATTGATTTTATTGTTTTTACATATGCTTTTCAACTAAGAATGTTCTCAAGAGGGTGTACAAAAGCAGTTCAGCATACACTTATTAATATCATAGTGAATGAACATTTGTGCTTAGTAACTTCAAGTTGAATGACTAGGAAATAGGCAGATCACATACTTCTGGCTCAGCAGGTTTTTAATATGGACATATCTGTGGCTTGCAGTTATTGGGAGAGACCAAACTTATCTTACTTCAGTAGGAATCTGAGCTCTGCCCCCCCCATTGTAGAAAAAAGTGGAGATCATAGTACTTGTTGAAGGAAGGGATCAACTCTGTACAGCTCCAGCTCTTTTTCTTTAATGCTGGTTCAGAAATGCAGGGGTCCTCAGATCCAAGTCATGAAGGGTGGTCTCTGAGGTTGCCCGTTTTGGAGCACAAAGGACACACTCAATGTACTTAATGGTAAGGTCGGACAGTTGTAGCAGTTTCATAGCACTTTCATCTTCATGGTTCCATTTCAAGGAATCCTGGGATTTGTAGTTTGAGTAGACACTAAGGAGCCCTAGTGTTGTATTGTGAGGGAGTACAAATTTCCCCAAGTAATTTTTACATAACCACATCCATCAATATTGCAGGCATACAAAAAAGCACACGCTACTCCAGAAGCGTCCACACAGCCCATACATCAGATCACACAGGAAGCACACACAGATGTCTGATCTTTCTTCCAATTGCCCTATCAGGTTACTTAGCATCTTCACAAGCACCTCGCCATCTTACCCAACATCTCCACAAATAATCCAGTTACCATTTTTTTTTAAATTAAAAATCATTTTGTGAAAATTAAAAAGAGATCCAAGGGCGGTACCAAAGTATACACTGACTACACTGCAAGCATCAAATTGGGAATCAGACTTTCAAAGCAGTGGTTCCCAACCTTGGGTCCCTAGATATTCTTGGATTAATACTCCCAAAAGCCTTCCCCACTAGCTGTGCTGGCCAGGATTTCTGGGAGTTGTAGTCCAAGAACATTGGGGACCCAAATTTGGGGACCACAGTTGTAAAGCATTAGCTGATATATAAACAAGCAAAACTGATTGAAAATGTATCCATCACTACTCATAATCTGCCTTTGGCAGATGGCCAAAATCAACCATTTTCCATGACAGTCACCATAACATGTCTTTGTTGTATGATGGAACTACTCCACTAAAATATCCCCTATGAAAATTCCCCATTTTGATTTATTTGTGACTGCTTAGCACACAATAGTTTAGAATAGGGGATAGGTAAATTTGTGCAATATGTGTTGTTTAAAGGATAGTTAAATACAGAAATTTGTAAATCTGATCTTTTATATAGGATGATAAAGAAATGAAACTTGATTCTAAATTCTAAAGTTTTATGAAGCTTTTGGTTTGCATGTTTCTTTAAGGGACTCTCATCACATGAAGCGGCTGATCTGGAATCCCACTGTAGCTTCAGCATTTGTGCATAGTATAAGATTTCGCTGGGATCTTGAATATATACTGTATATGTATTTAGTTTTGAACCAAACAATCTCTGGAGACAACTATAACACAAAGCTGTGAAAATCAGAATCAGCTGGCTGTTGATTCCAGCTGTAATCATGTCTACATGGAGGGGGGAAATCTTGTTGACAGTAGATTGAGATATCAGAAGTCAGTTCCATTTTTATCTTCTTTTCAAGAAAAAGCAGTCAGTACTTTTTAGATCAACCCCCCCCTTCAGTCTCCGCTGTTATACAATGGATGTATTTACTGCATCAGGATTTGTTATGTGCACACCACAAGTTATAAAAATAGCTAGTTTTTTAAGACAGGCTGAACATGCATGAAGTAGAGATAACTTGTATCCAATGTTTTCAGTTACAGTATATGATTCCCTTTATGAGATGATGAAAGACAGTGAACTTAACTGGTGATTTGATTCTTGGGAAAGCTTGCTACACAATTAAACCACCCACAAAAGTTCTGCGACTAAATTTGATTTTAACATTTGGTTGTCATTGTTTTTATGCCAGTATTATATTCTGCAAAGAGCAGAAGGCTCCCTTTTATTTGCATAAAAAGAACAACTTTAAATTTGACCATTTACAGACATTGTAATCTAAATCTGAGATAGGAAGGCTTAAAACATCTTATTTATTTCTATACCTTTCAGGTCAACTGACTGGAACTTGGTACCCAAAAATTGCTTTCATAGATATTGAAATTTAAGGAACAGAAATATGCTCTGACCAAATGCTCAGGCCAGGAATTAGTAATCATTATCAGAACCAAGCTTTCAGTCTATTCCCAAGCTATCCAGGGTTACGACATTAACTGCCAGGAATCCGAAGGGCACATAGATATTGCACACATCCCTAACATATTAAAGATTTTGTGCTCTTTTAAATGTAAACTGCTTCAGGAACAAATCTTGGCTGAAAGCAGAACCTAACGTTAATAAACCAATAGCTTAAAATGAAAGCCTTTCAATAAGGAAAAGATGGAAGCTCCATTTGAGCTCTTGTCTTGTTCAGCACATGTCATCTTTTCAGCTGACTCTTTCTTATATATAATGGGAGCCCTCCTCTCAATTTGTGATTCACCTAAATTGTTCTCCTGATAGGCACCATTGTCAAGGGGGCAGTTCTCCACCATAATGCACTAGAGATATCTGCATCTTGTCATTTAAAGCAAGAGCTAAGGTGAGGAGGAGGTGACTTCAACAATCCACATTTCCATGGCTTGCATTCCAGTTGCTAGTTACTGCTAGTACAAGTAGCACTCATATTGAGTCCTGTGTGGCCATGGGCAAGCTGCAGTCCCAGAATACCTCCGGAAGATGGGAATGGTAAATGATTTCTGTGTACTGCCTAACTGGAAAACCCTGTAAAGGGTCACCATAAGTCAGAATTGACTTGACGGCACATGACTATTACTTACTATTGAGTCTGTAGTAATGCTTATTTAAGTCTGGATAGTGGAGGAAAAGGGATTATTGTCCTAATCATGATTATTATTTCCCAGCATTGCTCGTGCTTGGGGATGGACCAAAAGGTCAAGCCAAATAATTAGGAATAACATTCTAAAAATTTGTAACTGAGATGACATGTTTGCAAAGTGATTGATTTCTGAATTTCAAGGAGCAGATTAGTTGTTATAGGCTATTGTTTTAAAATGGAAGCCAAAGATTTTGGAACAATCCGAGGTGCAAAAATTAGTATTGGGAGGATGATAACCTGATTGTACTTCCATGTTCTTTTAATTTCTTGCCTCAGTGTTTAGTATTTTGTAATTTTTGTCTTTTCTCTACTTTTGAGGTGGCTTGTTGGTGGAACTCCAACTATTATTATTATTATATTGACATACTGATATATTATTAATTATTATGTATGATAAATTTTATAATTACATTTTATATTAATCATAATGAGGAGGAAGAGGAGGAGGAAGGAAGAAGAATGAAGAAAGAAGAAGAGGAAAAATTTCAGAAGCGTGGGTAATGGAAATATGTCTAGGGGATTTGTGATGGCCTAAAGCAGAAACTTTCAAAGGACTGGAAAGACAGAATTAAAGAATAAGAAATAAGTTTTCTGTTTGGTTATTGTTCCAATTATACTTGGTTGTATGAGGTGGTATATATGGATGAAACAGATTGTTGGTTTGTGTTTTCACAATCATGTTTCACCATGGTCACACTGAAGCTGAATCAGAATCAGAAAATAATTATTTTATACTTCTGTCTAGAAAAAATTATATTCCTACTGTGTCATGTGGGGACTTTTAGGAACAAATTAAAACAACATGCACAGGAGTTTTTACAGAGTAATACCAACACATTATATTTTCTTTAAAAACCTGAACACATACATGTGTAGATAAGCAGAAGGAAGCCATTAAAAACTCACCAAAATACATACAATCATTTACACAGAACATTTTATATAGACACATTGCAATATTGCCTTCTGTCTGTCTGGAAACATTTTAGGAATTCTTCAGGAGATATAAATAGAACACTTTGCATTTGATCTTGTAAATTATGCACAAAATTGTGTCTTCTACTTGAAATAGAGCTAAATGTCCACATACCTATTTTCTCAGCTAAGCACAGGTGATATTTTAAATTTCTGTGCAGTTTTCTGCAGAATGCATATTGTTTATTACACCGCTGTGAGTTATTCATTTTGCTGGTAGTAAAATACTACTTGTATGGCAATAACATCAACAAAAAACCTACCATGCATTAAAGGTTATAACTATGTGAAGGCCATTATTGTGTAGTTGAATGGATTAAAATTTAAAATCTTTTTTGTATTGGTGAAGAGCTGTTTCTTCCAGAAGATGCCTAAGGCAACATTACTCCATTCAAAGCATAAAACTGATTTTAAAACTATCAGAAGTTAGAAATTATAAAATGCAGCATGGACAGTGGCAATAGCTTGGCTGTTTAATAATTGTTGTAGATTCTGTAGATTGAATGATGCCTAAGAAGGCCCAAACATAGAACTATACAGAAGAGGATATAATATTTGGGAATGGATTCAGGATTTCTTCATGCAGTTCTGAGTGTACTGGTTACAATCCTCATAATATATTTCTGATTTCTATTTAGGAAATTTGCATTTCCACTAATGAGCTTTACCTATCTACAGCAAGATCCAAAGATACCGTACTGTGATTTCTTTTGCCTCTGTCCAGATAACTCTTACTTCTAAATTCTGTTAGGGTGTTATTTTGATCTTGGCAGAGGATGGCAGGGTCTGGGGATGATAGGACTTGCAGTCCAAAACATGTGGAGGGCACCAGCTTGCCTACCCTAGTTAAGAGGTTTGAATGCCAATGCCAGCACTTTAAATTTAGTTCAGTAATGAACAGATAGGCAGCATAACTAGTTTTATCTTCACGTTACCCAAGCTGAACACCTTCCTTCTGGTAGCTTTTTGACAGCCACATTTTGTATCAACTTAAGTTTCCAAACTGTCTTTAATGGTAGACCTAAAGTCAGAGAATTATAGTAATTAACTCTGGTTGTAAAAGGTTGAAACCTCATTCCAGCACAAGAGCTCAAAGTGGTTCTTCCTACTCTAGCTACTTTTAATTAGAGAGAGAGAGAGAGAGAGAGAGAGATCTTGGACATGATATCTAGTTAGATTCTTAAAATCTTTGATGCCTATCTTAATCTGCATTGCGTCCAGGGGTTTAGTGGCTCACAACCACATCTGTACCTCCATCTGGGCACAAAGTTTTTGCCCTATCCCTCATAATTAATGATTTCCTTAATATCAAAGTACTCTGTTTTTGTAATGCAGTTATTTTGTTAATTTCAGCATTCCCAATCTGAATTATAAATCATTTTGAACAATGTTAAACATTCTTCCAAATAGGGATATGCTAGTCAGATAGCACATAGTTTTATGGAGTGTCTATTTCTGAGTTCCATTTCACAACAGAAATGTGAGATCAAAAGTTTGGAACACACTATTATCCTAGAGCAAATGTGTTTCTAAATTGTATATAATGTATAAATAGTGGCACAGGCAATCACTTTCTGCAAGCAACCTCTAATGACAACGTAATTAGTGCATTTTTTTTCTGTTGCATTCCCATTTTACTTTGGAGCTGAAACTGACTGTTAGATTTGAGTGTGGGATTCATACTCTAGAAAGAACAGAGACAAACAAAAAACAGCTGGTGAAATATGAATCAGTCTTGAACAGTTGTTTCACAGAGAATCACATTTCTGTTGAGTTGAACAACAGAACAACATGCTTTGTGAAGAGCCTAAATAACTTAACTTTTACACTGAAGTACCTTCTATGAATCAGTTTGGGCAAGTGCTAAGTACCTAATATTGTTAGTATTTCAAATCCATGTCTCTAAAGCAAAGGTGTGCAAACTACACACCGTGAACTGCATCTGCCTCCAACCCTAGCTAACACAGCTGGTGGTGAGGAATGCTTGAAACTGCAGTTCAGCTACATCTGGGCGGGATGCATATTTCTCATCCCTGCTATACATCAATGACTAGTAAAGTACCACAAACAATTAAACATCACAAACAATAATTATTCAGTTAATGGATGCTTCCAGACAAAGGTTTTACAGTGCAGCCATCCTGCTTAATTCAAAGAATTTCATTCACAGAGATCCAGATGTTACTGTACTTTATTTATAGCCCTCTTGTTTTTTCTCCAAATTTCTTCCATTTTTCCCCTTATGCAAAAACAAACATGTGCATGTGCATGCACATACATTCCTATGGCCAGTCTTCAATAGGGTTCTTCTGCTGATAGAATGGCTTTTGTCAGTGGGAAACCCCCCTCCGCTGCAGCCCTGCTCCAAGAGTACTGGGAACACTCTTGAAGTTGTTTTATGGACTGCACTGAAGGCTACAGAGTGGACAGGAGAAGAAGAAAGTTAAGGAAGAAAATATAAAATTGCTACACCATGTTTTTCGACTGATAGCAGTATGAATGGTCTGTCTGGAAGCACCCCATATCTTGTTCACAATATCCACTAAGTAAAATGCTGCAGAGATATGGCATATATGCTTCATGCAGAACATACTGTTAAATGTGGAATACATTTGCTATCAAGAGGATTTCATTATAGAGCAGCCATTAGTCCTCCCTTTTCACAATATTAAAAAAAGACACACACTGACTTAGGGATTTTTTTAAAAGCCACAAGAGCGTATATCATACATATTTAACAGATGCATCAGGGGTCTGCAGATTCTGTAGAGTTCTGTGTAAAACAGTTCTGTTAAAATAATAATAATTCCTTCATAAGAAAAAGGAAAGGTCCAGGCCATCAAGTGGAAATCTGTAGAGCTTCACATGTGTACACCCATCCTTTTGGTCTTCTTTGGAACCAAATGCGAGAGAGCACGGAGCTTCCAAATGAAATGTGTTCACAGAGTACTAAGTACCCTTCCCACTTTCTTTTTCTTCATGAATTGTGAAGTACAGTTTCCACTGCATCTCAATTTAAACTGTCCTTGTGGATGCTTCGTTCTGTATTGTGATTGTTCAGTTCATTGTTTTTCCACTGGATACTTGTTCCATTCATAGGAACAGATGATGATTGACTTCCTGTCTGGTAGCATATACAGCAGAGGCATGACTGGCAAGAAAAGAGATTCAGAATAACATTAATTTTCTATTCCCTTTGAAGGAATGGCTTTCACTACATTGCAGAAGCCTCTAGAGCGAAGAAAGCAGAAGTGGGCAGGGGCAAAATGATAAGAACTGTATCACACTTGAATGAGAGGCACATTTCAAGCATCATGCCAAACCATGGGCTGTGTCAACCTTATCATAGAATCAATGAATGATTAAGTTAGAAGGGTCCTATAAGGTTATCAAGTCCAACTCCCTGCTCAATGCAGCAATCCCAACCAAGAAGATCTCACAGATGGCTGTCCAATTTTTTCTTGAACTCCACCATTGTTGGAGCACTCATCACCTCCTGAGGTAATTGATTCCATTGTCATACTGCTCTAACAGTTAAGAGGTTATATTAGAACCCAAACCATGGTGGTTGTTTCCCAATCTACAGAATGGTTGGAGCTTCCAAATTTACAGAAGGCAATCCTGGTTTTGAGCTTTCACTGGAATGAATGTAGGAAGCTGACTTCTAAGAAGACAGCAGTCTCTGGAGGCAAAGCTATGGAACATGTCAATTCAGGTATAACTCTAAACCATGGTTTACAAAATCACTCCAGACCCTGGTTTCAGGTTTACCAAGTCAACTGTGCACTGTGGCATACACATTCAGATATCACATCAAACCACAAATAAATTCCTTTAACAATGCTTTTGTTCGATGTCTGAATTGGTCCATAGTGGAAGAAAGCCAGAGACTTTCCCAACCCAACCACTTAGTCATGAATCAATGTTTCTTGATTTGGATGTTCTAGGTATCCCAGGGCACCAGCCCAACTGTTTCTTGTTTCATTAATAAAGGACATCCAACTAAATAATATGCTGTAATAAGGTGACAATGTGAACAGAACTTGAGATGTACTTAAGCTCATCCATTTTTCCCTTAGTTATTTCTTGTTTACCACTAAACATTTTCTGTAAAACATTGCAGTCCTTACCTGGAAACAGTTTTTGAACCTCTTGCTCACAAAATAGAGTGCTATAGGGTTTATGCAGGAATTTATGGTTGCTAGATTAATGCCAATATAATCCAATGTCAACAAAAAGCTAGGATTAAAAAAAGGAAAGGGAAAAAATTATAATCTTTGCATGTTGGAAAGTAATAAGGAGCAACAGGAACATGACTCTGTATAACAACTGTTCAGGCAGCCATGATCTTTGGGGGCAAGGGCTGTTGTCCATGTAACAACTCACACATTTGACATAGGAAATACAGTAAGTGTTCTTTGCAGCGATACCAGCCCTATACAATGATCTTCTCTCTACAGTAATGTTATGCCTCAGTATTGGCTACTTTTACATGTTTATTAAACTTGCATTTTTTTTTTCTTCAGCTTTCTTCTGGCCATGAACTGTTTGGAATGTTCTAATATGCTGAAACAATCGGGGTTTTTGTTTCATTTTTCATTTTCCTTATGGTGTTGTTATAAACTTGGTCTGCTTTAGAATTTGTGCAAACAAGAACTGACACATAAAGATTGCAGTAAACAAATAAAAGGGGAAGTGTTTGGCAGCTGTGGATTGCATGATAATCTATGAACAGTGGAAAGGGGATTCAGATTCAGGACCAAATCAATCTGGATTAGGGCAGGCTCAGCCCAAACTGAATCAGGGTTTAATTAACAGGTTTAACAATCACAGACAGTTTCCATAGAATTGGTCACCTAGCCTCCAGTACTAATCTAGTGGGTGAGACCAACAAAATTTGTTTCTGCCTACATGGTTGGGCTCTTTCAGATGAGGAGGAATGGTTCATGGAAAATCAAGTCAAGAGCTTTAAAATATCCATTTCCATGGTTCAACATATCTCAGTGCAAACTGGAATATTGTGTTGCTTCAGTCATCCTCTGCCAAATTAACATAATGCATATCCCATATTAAAATAATACCTGAGCAATTCACATCTGTTAGGATCCTGTTGATTATACAACATTATCTTCAGAATCCGACTCACATGGAGAGGAATCCAGCAAAGGGTGAAAATCACAACTAAGCAGAAAACTGTCTTTGCAACTTCTCGTCGCTGAAAGATGAAAGAACAAGTAAGAAATGTAAAAATGTGGGATAAATCAAGCATAAAATGATTGAGAACAAATGGAAGCTGCCCAAATCTAAGAAACACAGCCTTAGCAAACCCAGTCATTAGAAATGTTGCCAATGACTGATATTGCAATGGTTATGCAGGAGAAAATTATCAAAACCACAGAATTGTTTTAACAACCAGAATGTTGACACAATTCTGTAGATCTCCTACAGTATTTACTGTACTGCACTGCTTAGATAGTGGCCAATGTGGTGCCGTGGTCAAAATGTTGGGCTGGGACTTGAGAGATCAAAGTCTAAATCCTCATGGAATTAGGAAACCCACAGGATTCTTACAAGGATAAAAATGATGAGGGACAAAGTGAGAAGCCGTATATGACATTTTGCACTCACTGGAGGAGAGGCAGGACATAAATGTAATATAATGGAGGAAATCCTGTTGCCAAAGGTTAGGCCACATAGGGCTGATGACATCATCAGCTGCAACATTTTTTCCCCCCAAAATTGCAAATTTTCAGTCAGTCCCCTCAAAGGTCCCTATGATTTTTCCAGGGATTTTATGAGTGGTGACAATTTTTTAAATTAAAGACTCCCTCCTTGTCCTACAGCCTTGGAACTTTTAGGGGGAATCAGAAATGTTTAATTTCTGCAGGTAATGATGTCACCAGACCTACGTGGCATAAGTTGTGCAACATGATTTTGGCAAGTAACTAATTGTAATAATAATAAGCTGATGCACAGAAATTGAAATGGTGCATTTGGAAAAGTCTTCTTTCTGTGCTTTATTTTAGGGAATGAAGTTGGAAAATCCATTCTTTTTTTGTAACTATTGTCAGCAGAGTTCTCATGCACCTGCTATGACATGTTCATAATAATATTCTGCATCAAAGCAGGAAATGCAGTGTGATTTGAACTTGACTTAAGAAAGGGCCCAACATGTAAGGATGAGTTTTGGGGACCTCCTTGTAGATAGAATCCAAAGCATTTGGAAAGAACTGAAGGTCTGAGAATAAGGAGGATTGTTTTAAATAAAGAATAGCTCCATCTGACCATTTAAAGAATGGTATCTGTAATTATTTACTTGTACTTTCCATTATCCTTATCGTAAAAACTCATCTTTAGCCATGCTTACAATTTTTGGAAAGCATTTTCTTAAACCCTGTCCTGAATTTCTTTTCAGCAAGCTGTACATGCAAAATGCATTGTCCACTAGTTTCTAGATATGGCCTTCCTTCCTTCCTTACCTGCTTAAGATGTTCACTGAGAGCTATCCTCAAATTGCTCTTTCTCCTGTTTAACATTTCACAGGTCATCAGAGTGTAAAAGAATGCTGTGCATATCAGTGGCATGGCAAAATAGAAACCAAAGATCCACCAGTCCTTGGCTTTGACATAGACCTGTAGCAGAGATACAAAACATAGCAATGTGTTATAACATGGAATGTATTATCCCTTATGTCTTCTACAGAGGATGAAGAATAGAAGAATGTAAGTAGACTAAACTTTGATATCAGAAATGACAGTACTAAGACATCCCTATAAGAACATTCCACATACTCTGGACTCTCTGCAGCTGCTAATCTTCAGGAAAAGAATTTGAAAGGGAGACTTTAGTACTCAATTAAAATTAGTCAAATTAGAATGTAATGAAAATGAATTAATCAAGAGATGTTATTCTGTTCTTCCAGGCAGGAATAAAGGGAATGGCTTCCTACAGGGTAGGCCCAAGGCATTATGCTGCCTGAGGCAGAACAGCAAATCATTACCCTCTCCATCTCAAATCATGATGAAAAATAGCCAAGGCCAAGGCCAAATTGCTTTGGTACCAGAGGCAGAAAATCCCACATGCGCCTCTCCCAATCCATGACAGGAAATAAAATGAGTAATAATTTGTTGTTCTTACACAACATGCAGTCTCACCCTGACACCACATTACTACTGTTTGGGAATGTTTGTAACTCCTACTGAAAGCCCACTGAAGAACAGGGTAGTGATGAATGTTTAGAATGAGACAGAAGCATGACACTGTACTGGAGGAATAAGATATTTAATCTTGAGAGGCCACTATGCCCAGGAAAATATCAGTGGGCATAGGATCACCACTGATAATGTTTTCACTGATAACAGAGTCCAATCCAAAGTTTTATGGTTTCAGCATGTATGGCAATCATGCAAGTGATATGATCTGTTTCCCAGGCTGTCTGTTATGCACCCAATTGATCAGGTGCAACAGGAATCCTAGAAAACACCCCCCAAAATGTCTTTATACATGTGAAAAAAACCTAGAGAATTTGAGTCTCAATCTTTTGGAACCAAAGAAGTTTGTTCATCTATTTGGGTAACAAACATGTTAAAGCAATTTTTAAACTGCCTTGACATAAGAGTTGGGTAGAGTTTGCAAATTTTACTTTTTTTGGACTGCAAGTTCCAGAACTGGCAATTCTGAGAACTGCAGTCCAAAACCAACTTGGGACTTGCACCCTTCTTATTTGGGATGTGATCATCTGTGGATACATCAAAACTTTCCACGTGTGTAAATGCAATGTTTTTTTCCCCCCTATTCCCTAGGCCAGGGCACATGATCAATTGGGCAATGAGGAGAATACTTGATACATGACAAACCCACCAACCTTCATTTTCAAAACCAGTGACCATATAGCTGTTACTAATCTCTGTATTACAATCAAAGAGCAAGAGAAATCTAGCTAATAGCTTGTGTCCCAGTGGAAAAGCTGGTCTGTTACCTTTTAAGGCTTTTTATGAATGGCTTTGATGCCAAAAGGTCCAGGTTAAGAATGCCTGTGCTCTGCTATCAGTTGAAAGATTAGCTGCCTTGCTTGTGTATCAGGCAGAAAGAGGCCACTTAAGCATGCACTAGTCTGGAAAATGTGGAATCCAGATTGCTGTTTCCAATACTTTGAGTCTGTGGTTGTTTTAACTCCCCGATTGGAATGTACCCTTTCACTTGGTATGTGTACTATGTGAGAGGAAACAGGAGATGCCTCTAAAGCTCCACTATTTCCTGCAGTTTATGTTAAGAATTGTTGATTATTTCAGATGAGTATTTTAATAAAACTCTTCAGTGTTTTAGTAATCTGCTAATAACTATATGCATTTTTCAATTCCATCTAAATATAAGCAACACAGACTGACACAGGCATGTCTTGTGAATCCACTGTTCCTCCTTGATTACCAGTCAAGAAGAATGCTGTATGTAGAAGGGGAGTCTTTTCCTTGCATCTTTTCCCACCAATTGTTTATTCCTAGCAGATGTACTTCTACTGGTTCCCATACCAGAAGATAATGGTACTAACAGCCAACTGCTTTGCTGCTTTTCGAAGAAGTTGGAGACCTCTAATTCTGTTTACATATATTTCAACAGAAGAGTTAGTTATGATGTATGAAGATTAAAGCTTCACCACAGGCTAATTTATTCTTAATGAAGCAGTATTTTTAGATTACTTATGAAGACAGTCATTGGTTATATGAGGAAGAGAGGAGAAGGCAAGACAGTGAGAATGCAATTTACTTCAGGCTTTTAGCTGGCGGCTGGGTGAGGAATATATAAATCTTTCTCATGTGAACTTTTTCTCACAAAGGATACCACTGAATCTGCTGGAATCTGTGGGAATATCCTAGCTAGCTGAAGGCTGTGGGCAATGGTACTGAAGGGAATGCTTTCTCATTCTTCTAAATAGGGCAAGATTTACCATAAATTAAACTGAAATGTTTGTTTGTTTGTTTATGATATAGCCGGACCAAAAACAAAAACTGTGAAAACTATAATCAATAAATATCAAGAGATTATCAAAGCAAATGTAGCTTAAGATAGAGAGGGACATTATGATTGCCATGAGTTTTCTATCATCCAGACGATTCATCCTATTTATTTACCTTCACTGTTTACACACTCACCTTTAACAAACCTTTCTCTGGGTAGCTCACACTATAAATAATAGTGCAATACCAACACTAAGAATAAAACAAGACCAAGAACTTGTAGCACAAGAAAGTGGGGAAAAATTAATAGGGTAATTTAGGTAGGGATAGCAAGGTAAGGGGAGAATGGGAAAAGATACACCCCATATGAATAGCAACATGTCTTAAATCGACCTCCTTCCAGAGGTGAAAACGTTACAAAAAAGAGTAACAGTTAAATTTAGTGTTGCTGAATTGATACTGAGATGATAAGCTTGGCAGCAGTTAATTAAGCTGCATTATCTTTCCTGTCTCTGAAACGTACCCTCTACCCTCTTCTAGTGCCAAAGGGGGAAAATGCTAGATAGAATATCAAAGCTATATCCAACATATTTAGCATTTAAAGGAGTCACCATGACATTTTGAAGTTACAAAAAATGAACCAAGATGTTTGCAAATGATTCATTATGGCTCTTGAAGTTTACACAGATTTGCATGAGCTCTGTTTTGTACTTTGATGTAACTGACACAGGAATCCTTTGTTTTCCATGCGAGTCCACATGGAACTAGTTTTCCACAGGAAATGTGCCTTTCCACTTGTTCCCTAAAGCGCTTGGCCTTTTGGGATTTGCATCCAAGGACAAATAGTTGAAAACAGAGCCTTAACAAATAATAACTAAGAGGTTTCTGCAACAATAGAAAAGGGAATAATCATAAAGATTTATTAACATAGAGTGACAGAATTTATTGTAACTATCAGAGCTAAATCAGGACAGGCTTCCCCCTTTTCTCCATCATGCAGTTAACATGAAACTTCTATGATCTGCTCTCCTTCAGGTCCCTGTTCCCCTTTTCTTTTATACAAATTTGTATCTGGAAATCAGCCAGCTATGCGGGGGAAGGGCTTCTTTGCAAATCAGGGTAGCTCTCTAATATGAGTTTGTTTGAAATATTTTTGGAAGGGAAAATGAGAGAAGTGGGAGGGAGGGTCTCATTATGTACTGATAACATATTACAAGTACTTGTTCATGTCTTTTCTGCATGATTTATTTTCTTAAACAAATCTGGCCTACAGCAGACAAACAGCAGAGAAGGATGCTCTTTAGCCCTCTCCTAACCATCATCTAACACTTCACCCTCTGCAGGGCAAAAGATACAGATGTGTACAGAAAAAATGGGAGAGAGGACAGTTGAGTGGAAACACAGTCAAAAATTAAAGAAAGGAGCAGCCCTTTCCCCACCATTCCACCCAAGGGAGTTGCATCCCTCAGAGTAAGATTCTTCAGGAATCTAGCATAAGCCAGAAAAATGATGTTACTAATATGATTTTAGTAGAAACAGGTCAAGTGAGTGAGATCCACCTGAATCTTCCATGCATGTCTGTGCAAATGAAACTTGTAGAGCAAAGGTGGGCAAATTGCAGCCCTCCAGATGTTTTTGGACTGCAGATCCCACTAGCCATTGCCAGCCTAGCCAGTGCTGAGAGATCACAAGAATTGCACTCAAAAATCATTTGGTGTGCCACAGTCATCCACCCCAGTTCATAGCCTAAAAGCCTCATCACAAATATTATAAGAATACGGACATATAGATCTATGGAAATACAGTTTTAGTTCAGGAAGTGTCTTTCAGATGTAGAATTTCAAGTCAGCATTCCGGGACTTGTAGAGTTGTTGTTGTTTTTCTATTTAGCAGGCTGGGCTTTGTCCCATTTTGGAAACAGAGAGAAAAGAGAGACTGAGAGGCTATTCGTCCTGATGTGGATTATAGGCCATCCAGATTATTGTGTACTACAACTGCTATAACTGTTTTCAGATAAGCAATTATAGCGAAGAAACTCAAAAGTTGTCACTGTGGCCTTCTAGGGGAGAACCAAGCAATAACAAGAACACAAGAGTCCCAAGAATGGAAGAGGGCAAAAGGCCAATGCAAAACTCTCAAAAACTGAAACTAGCCATTTTGGCACCTGGGGCAAGCAGTATTGTCTCCCACCTATGAGAAAGGAGGAGGGGAATGTGATATCTGTTCCCTAAGAAAGAAAAAAGGTTTTGTTTTCATAAAAAGAAAAGTGAATAGGGCTGGGAGGTGTTGTAGTGGTTGTTCCTGTTTATCTTCTATTTCACCTCCAAATGTCAACACCCTCTAAATTTGGTGCCCTGCGGCAAAGCTTCCATTGTTCCACCCAGCTGGAGCCTTGCATCAATCTACACAGTCAAGCTGCAGAAAAGCACCTCGTGCTAATCATCAGAAACCCCTTTCTCATTTTATGTGGACAAGAAAGGAAAAAAAAAATCCCTGAGAACCTGAAGACTAGATTACCAATAATCCAACAAGACTGGAATTTAGGATGGTGTGGGCAGTCTTCTCAACTACCTGGTCCATGAAATGATATTGAACCCTAGGTTGCAACACATTTTCAATTAAGTGGTTTCTTCTGCTACTGTAGTTACCAAGGGCTCAGGATCAAATACACTCCACCTTTTTCTGATGAAATCTTTTAGCTAAACAAATGGGGAACAAAGTTTCTGTTGCTTAGGATATTACATTTGGAGGGCAACTGTCAGTGATGCCAAGCTGTGCGGTGGCAGTGGTGCTGGTGGAATTGTTTCTTCTCTCCTTCTCTCTCCGTCTCTCCTCCCTCCTAATCCATACATCCAGATACACACCTTCTCCCCTTCTTTTCCATTGCTTCCTCCTTCCTGCCCCTTGACTTCTCCTTCCTGTGCAGGGAGTCACTGACATAGACCTATCTTACTGTGTTACTTTTAACTGTATTCTTTGATGTTTTAAATGATTGAATGTATTCACACAATTATAATGGTTTTTATGGAGGGGTTTGTTTAGTTTATTTCATTTTTCTTTGGTTAAATGTGATTTTATCTATTTTTATTCTTTTAATTCTTTGATGTTTTAAATGATTGAATGTATTCACACAATTATAATGGTTTTTATGGAGGGGTTTGTTTAGTTTATTTCATTTTTCTTTGGTTAAATGTGATTTTATCTATTTTTATTCTTTTAAGAAATGTGTAACATCTCTTTTTAGTGGAAAGCTGGGGTATAAAACAGACGGACGGATGGACAGATAGAGAGACAGAGATAGATAGATAGATAGATAGACAGACAGACAGACAGACAGACAGACAGACAGACAGACAGACAGATAGATAAAGAGAACAGATGTTTTTTTTTCTTTTGCTAGAGGTCTGCACTGACTGCTTGAAAAGAATGTTTAAAATAAGATTAAGGGTATGAATTAGACTGATGGTCTCACTGGATCCTACAGCCAGTGTCAACATATAAGGTTGCTTTGTGTGAGAAAGTGCACCATGCGTTTACAGGAACCAGAGATCATGGAATGTTAGGCAGATGGTTTATTAGCAATCAAGAATAATCAGCTCAGTTTCCTTGAATGGGAGCTATTAAGCTACATGACGGATTTTTTTCCCTAAATTAAAAAATTGGCATCCGTGCTCTGCAAGGGTAAGAGGGAGAATGATAACAAAATACACCATTTATTAGAAAATAAGACAGAAAGAAGGGAGCTGTGAGAGAGTAGGTACATTCTTGAGGTGCAAGCATTTTCTTTGGGGATGTGATGCAAAATAAGTAGATGCAATTATAAAAACTGAATTTACCTTCATCATAATTATTTGGTGTGTCCACATAAGAGGAAACCAAACCTCAGAGTTTGATAGATAGATAGATAGATAGATAGATAGATAGATAGATAAAGAGGACAGATTTTTTTTTTCTTTTGCTAGAGGTCTGCACTGACTGCTTGAAAAGAATGTTTAAAATAAGATTAAGGGCATAAATTAGACTGATGGTCTCACTGGATCCTACAGCCAGTGTCAACATATAAGGTTGCTTTGTGTGAGAAAGTGCACCATGCTTTTACAGGAACCAGAGATCATGGAATGTTAGGCAGATGGTTTATTAGCAATCAAGAATAATCAGCTCAGTTTCCTTGAATGGGAGCTATTAAGCTACATGACGGATTTTTTTCCCTAAATTAAAAAATTGGCATCCGTGCTCTGCAAGGGTAAGAGGGAGAATGATAACAAAATACACCATTTATTAGAAAATAAGACAGAAAGAAGGGAGCTGTGAGAGAGTAGGTACATTCTTGAGGTGCAAGCATTTTCTTTGGGGATGTGATGCAAAATAAGTAGATGCAATTATAAAAACTGAATTTACCTTCATCATAATTATTTGGTGTGTCCACATAAGAGGAAACCAAACCTCAGAGTTTTGCTCCTGGAGCACACCAACAGGTTTCCCTCAGATTTCAGGGCCAAAATTTGAGATCAGAGGATGGGGGTCCTCATGATGTCACATGGGGAGTCCTTTGTGATGTCACAGATTGGATCTTTGTGATGTCACAATGTGAGGCATGCAGTGGTTTTGAGAAACCAAGCATACACACAAATACTTTTGTGCTAAGCCAGTGAGTCCTGGTACCCAATGGAAACAAGTAGAGACAGGTGAGCAAGCTTTAAAGTCACCTCACATGGAAAAAAAAACTTTTTGTACCTTCCATGATTCTGGTCTGATGAATCAGAGAAGCACAGCTGTTCCCTGGAAGTTCAGCCAATGTCCTAAGATATGGCCACCTTGCATATGACTACTCCATGAAGCACGGCGCCAATCACAACTGCGACTTGGTTTAGCAATGACAATTGAAGAACCCTTAGTGGTTTGCTAGAAAATGCTAGGGGGTCATTGCCTTCTCTTTTAGCATGCAGATGATATTGGCACATGCAAAAAAGAGGAGAATATGAATCTGGAATACATTTTGATAACTAAACATTAGGCCTCAACCAGCTCATATCAGAAGACATCTTATAGAGCTGCTTTAAAAATAAAAGATAGGAAAAGTTCTGTTTGTTGTTGTAATGTGCCATCAAGTTGCCTCCAATTTATGGCAAGCCTATGAATAAGTTATCTAAAAAATGTCCTGTTTTCGAACTAGAAATATTCTAGGCTTTTCCAGATGCCTTAAGCTTAAGCATCTCTTACAACCTGACTTCTGTCATGACGCCATCAAGTTGCCTCCAATTTGCCTCCATAGGCAAGCCTATGCATAAGTTATCTAAAAAATGTCTTGTTTTTGAACTAGAAATATTCTAGGCTTTTCCAGGCATCTCTTACAACCTGACTTCTGTCATGATTCTTTTTTACCTTCCATGATTCCAGCTGTTCCCTAGAAGTTCAGCCGATGTCCTAAGATATGGCCACCTTGCATATGACTACTCCATGAAGCACGGCGCCAATCACAACTGCGACTTGGTTTAGCAATGACAATTGAAGAACCCTTAGTGGTTTGCTAGAAAATGCTAGGGGGTCATTGCCTTCTCTTTTAGCATGCAGATGATATTGGCACATGCAAAAAAGAGAGGAGAATATGAACCTGGAATACATTTTGATAGCTAAACATTAGGCCTCAACCAGCTCATAGCAGAAGACATCTTATAGAGCTGCTTTAAAAATAAAAGATAGGAAAAGTTCTGTTTGTTGTTGTAATGCGCCATCAAGTTGCCTCCAATTTGCCTCCATAGGCAAGCCTATGCATAAGTTATCTAAAAAATGTCTTGTTTTTGAACTAGAAATATTCTAGGCTTTTCCAGGCATCTCTTACAACCTGACTTCTGTCATGATTTCTTCCATCTATGACCTAACTTCTCCCTTTTCTGTGCTTGCATTTTTCCTCCTCTTCCCCAGTGACATATACAAAACAACCACAACCGTTCTACTTCATATCGTACCTGCAAAAATTTATTACTTGGCAAGAGCATACAGGAAACAGTGTGTGAAGTATCCTGTCTTCATTTTCTACTACTTCTTATACATCTAACTATATTTATAAACAATGTTGCTAATATGTAGGTGAAAAGGGTAGATTTTTTTCCTATTTTTGTTGTGTCTTTATTATCTAAATATCCCCCACCCTCAAAAGCTGGCCATGCCATGATGGCAGGGGAGGGAACAGTGGAAATGGCCCTACCCTCTGACTACAGACCCATACATCTTACTGGACTAATGCAAAAGCAAAGCAAAGTGTGTTCCTTGTATACCCATAGAGCTTAAAGCATTCTGTAGATAGTTTATAATTTAATTATGAAGGCTACACATTGGCCCCCCACTCCCAACAAGCTGGGTACCCAATTTACCAATGTTGGAAGCATGGAAGAATGAATCAACCTGGAGCTGGCTACCTGGGACTGAACCTGCGTCATGAGAAGAATTTTTGGCTGCAGTACTGCAATTTAACCACTTGTCATGAGCAGAATTTTTGGCGGCAATACTGCAATTTAACCACTGCACCATGAGTACAGTAGGGGAAACCCATGGAAAACCGGCTTCCACAAAAGAACAACATCATCACTACAATCCCTAGTAGGAAGTGTTTTGCAAAGGAAGGAATTTATTTTTGTGTTTCCTATTAGTTATGTATAGGCTGGCTGACGTCCATTCAACAGAGGAGCACAAAAAGATGTCTCATGCTAAATCAGACGTTGGGCCCCTTTAGCCCTGTACTGTCAGCTTTACTGGCCATCCAGGATTTTGGCCAGGATTCTTTCCTAGCTCCACATGGAGATGTCTGGTGCTATTCCATGGAAGTACTGACCAGCCCCAATCCTGCCTAGGTTCTGAAATCAGATTATATTGGTGTGTTCAGGCTGGTATGGTAGATATACAGTGTCAAACTTTTAAATATCGCACTGCCTTAAACTTTCTGAATCAGTCACTGTTCCTCCAAGGGAAGGATAGGGAATATGAGAGCCTCCAGATGTTGTTGGACTCAAATTCCTATTGGTGCTCATCAGCACTGCCAAAAATAAGGGAAGATGGAAGCTTGAGTCCAACAACATCTGGAAGCCCAAAAAATTTAAATGAATTGAACACCTGCTAATGTTCCCATGGTCCTTTCCTACAAGGCCATTAAGAAAAATTGACACACAGCATTACAGCACAGCACAGCTTGACGGACTTGATGCAAAATGGGTTGCTACACCTGTATGCTCGTGAAAGCATGAGTCAATGCCTTTCTTTTTAGACTTTCTTGACAGTTTCGAGGATAAATATTTTTATAAAATGGAACAAGAAATTCTTTACCTGTCCACACTTAGAGCACAGAGATTAAGGACGGTGATTCCCACAGATGCCTTCTGAATGAAAGGAAAACATTTGCACAGAAACATCCCCAAAGGAGTCATTCCGAAGGGCCACTGAGCATGAAGCTGAAGAACAGATAATAGAAATGAGAAATGTTAAATGGCTATGCAGAAAGTGTGAATATACAACTGATTTTCACAACTATCTTCAGGTTGCTGCATGTGATTCAACTAACATTTTTCAGACTAAACTAAATGTTTTCTGTTCTTTCAGGAGCATCAGCTGGGGTGGGGAGAGTAAATGAAGATTGCATCTTCTCTTTATTCCTTATCTGATCATGTACACTTATATGCCACTTGCACACACTAGTTTTTTCTATTTATCTTTAAATTTTTCTAAAATGGTTATAGAAACAAACTAATCATCCCAAGGGAAACAATCTAAGGGCAAAAACAGCCATTAGAGTCATCCTGTTAGTGGCGCCTTTCTGTGCTCAAAAATAAGACCAAACGAATCCCATGCCTAAGACCTGAAGACAAATAGCAAAACAAAACTAGCTAACCTGCCAATTATGTAGGTCAGAAAAATTGCTATACACTCAGATATTTTCAGCAGTTAAGGAATTCTATATTCTGATCAAGGACTATCTATAATGGCAGCTTCTGTGCTTATGTCTAAAAAACAAAACAAATCAGTAATAGCACCATGCTCAGATTACCAGTTAAAATCCTCAGAAAATAATAGGATCCTAAGCTGGTATCTGAAAACAAATGCTGTTGACTCCTGAATTCTCTTGAGGGAATATTCCATAAATGAGATTTCACTGGACTACAGGTCATTATCTGGTCCATGCCCTTCCCAAGTATACACAGTAGAGCCTCCAAAGCAAAGGTTTTGTTCCTTGTAGATTCTAATTAAAGAAGGAGTATGGGTACCATCAAGTATCTTGGTTCCAATTAGGTAGGTCATAACCTAGACCCTAACTGCACTTGGAAACATATTATTTTACATTAGGTTACATTAGGTTACATCACCTTATCTTATCTACAGCACACTTGGAAACATAATGGCACATTAAAAAAATCATTTACACACAATTTATTCAGGTAAATACAAGCATATGAGGGCATACCAGTCTGATCTAATTGTCATATTCTGACCCCGTTGAAATGTCAATACTGTATTCAGAGATAGTCCCACTTACCACACATTACAGTAATCTAGCCAGGATGCTATAAGAAAAATGAAAATTGTGGCCAGACTATCTCTGCCTAGGAAGAGCTAGTGTAGCAGAGACACAAGATAATCCTATGTTAGTGGTTAGGTCTCACCCAATATAAGGGTGAGACCTAAAAGCACAGCTAAGCTGTTTGAATGGAAGTGCTAATCGCTGAAGCTTATATTTAGCTTCTGTGCTCTATGAAATCATGGCTCAATTTATGAGGTTACAGATCTTCTGGTATGAAAGTCTACCTTTAATTACAAGGAGCTAGGGTGACATATGTGTTACACTTTCCCAAAAGGACTGCTCCTAGGTCAGATTTTAAAGACTGGAAGATCATGAGGTCCACCTCTATGGCAATGACTCATGAGGGATGTTCTGTAGTGTTCCTGAAATCAATGACGTACTGTATTATTCCGTGTATAAAACAACACATTTTCCTGAAATAATTTGAGAAAAAAATTGAGGGTCGTTTTTTTATATGGAAGGCAGCTCTTTATCACTGCCTTTTGCGAAGGCATGGGGCTTAGCAAAAAAGGAAGGGGACGCATTTCTCCCTTCCTTTTTGCTGAGCTCCGTGCCTTCTCAAAAGACAAGGGCACACGCGGAGCTTAGCAAAAAGGAAGGGGAGGCGTTGCTCCTTTCCTTTTTGCTACGCTCCATGCCTTCTCAAAATGCAAGGGTACGGGGGGCTTAGCAAAAAGGAAGGAGAGGCATTGCTCTCTTCCTTTTTGCTAAGCTCCGTGCCTTCTCAAAAGACAAGAAAAAGCAGCAGTCACTTTGACAGCCACTTTCCTTACCTTTTGCCAAGGCACGGGACACAGCAAAAAGGAGCTCTTTGATCCCTGCTTTTTCTAATTTGGGGTTAGAAAAGGGGAGTCGTCTTATACATAGGGTCATCTTATAAATGGAAAAATATGGTACCTGCTTGTGCTGGCACAAAACCAACATGGTAGTTCTGGCTACAGGATAAGGAAGGCAAGCTAGAAAGATATGCATGGAAGCTCCTGTTCCCACTGGGTTTGCGTGAGTAAGTTCTTTGCCTAGTGCTAGGGAAAAGGCATTTATTTCAGAAAATGGGTGTGGAATGACCAAATGACTTAAGGGCTGTTCACAGGCTAACATTGTATTTATTGAAAGTGCAGTGTTGCCATGCCCATCAGTCTCATACCATAATGCATGAGTCTTCTGGTCCTTCTCCTTATGCCATTGCACTCTGAGTGGAAAAGTACAAAAGAGAACCTAAACTGAACATGTAGGATTCAAGAATTTGCAAGGAGTTGCTTGCACAGCTGTGTATGCCTATGCTCTTCTCCCCAAGGTCTGTTCAATGTACCAAGGAAAGAACAGTTTACCTGTCCTCTCTAGACATCTATCTCTGTGAACAACTCTTTAGGGTAGAGATGGAGTGCATGAAACTCAGGAGATGTCAGACTGCAACTACCATCAGTCCTAGCGAGCACAGGCTATAGTGATGATTTATGTGAGTTATAGTTCAACAACATATGGAGGGTCACACATCTCCTATTTCTGCTCTAGGGGTTGGGGATACGAAGAGGGTTCATCGATCCTAGGGCAGATGTGATGTTGGGGTCTTGCTACTACCACTGGCAAGGACCACTGCATAGGAGAGGACAGAGTACAGGCTGAGATCAAAGATACATACAGGAAATATGGACAGTGCCTCTTTTTCTGTAGGAGCCCAGGGCAAATTACTCCTACACTCCTTTTACCCCTGTTAAGATTTGGTCTCTTGACTCCAGACTTTCACAATGGAAGCATCTCTACTATTAAGTACAAATATAATTCTAAAGCTGCATTTTCCAAGAAAAACTTAAAAGTGTAAAGTTCAGCACAGCGGAATTTAGACCACATGTTTATAAGCTGAAATCAAAAAGATTTATGGCTCTACTTCTGGAATTCAGGAAAACAGACTATTCCTGAATGACTCTTCCATCAAACCTTAGTGTTTCCACGCTGACAATTAAGTGTAATAGACAATGAAATATTTTCAGCAACATGCTAAAAACATTCAATTTGGGTGATTTCTTCAAATGTCACAGAGTAAGCTTCATTTTACCTTCTTTTAAAACAATCTGTTTAGCACCATTCTTCCTGATGCAGGAAAGTTGCTTTCAACAGTCCAAAAGATACAGCGATGGAGAGACAGATAAATGTATGATAAGGTTTAGAGACAGAAAACTAATTTCTGCTTATGTTCTGTGACACATATCAGTATATTTTTGGCTACTTCTGGAATTCTTCCAAATGTGTCAGTATGACCAGTTAACATTTCTGACTTGCATTTATTGGAACAAAAACCTCCTACACTGAGTCATAAATAGCTTTAAAATTCTTACTCCTAAGGCTGAAACTGCATTGACAAATACTTCAGGACTTGCTTTGCAATTAGCATGAGTGAATTCAAAGTCTTTTTCTGTGATTACATGATGCAAAAGCCAATGCAAATCAGCCCAGCACCTTCTGTTTCCAATTCAGAATTTCTCAACTGTCCACTGATGCTGGGGGCTTCTGCTTTTTAAAACTTAAAACTTTTTAAAACTTTAAAACATTAAAACAATGTTTTTCCTCTGTGATCATTTGTTTTGTTCTACAAAAGGAAGTGGATGTAACTCTGGATGGTGTTATGGTGATGTACTGAGCTGGAAAGTGATGTTTTGGGACACCGGGAACAACCTTTCCTGCAATCGATCTCTCTCTAATCACCCCAAAGGTTTTTTTTTTAACAAACTACAGTACTGAATTTATCATTAGATCACCTCTGCACATACATAAAGTTTTATGTCCAGGAATTGCTGTCCAAGATGCTCCCAGTGTATTAGAGGTATGGCTTAACTCTGATGTTGTTCAGGCCTCCCATGAGACTTCTGAAGAAGATGTTTGTGTATTCCAAGATGAGCGCTATATGTGCATGGCAAAAATATCAATTCTTCTAAGCCAAGCCAATGTGCTCTACACGGTGTGGACTGGGAGCACATTTCCATGCTTCCCGCAATGCAAAATATGCATTCCCAAACATACAGTGGATTTATGCCGAAATCTAAATGTAACTATCTCTGAACTAGGGCTGATGTTACTTCCCTAATTGCTGATAACTGTGCTCACTGAATAAGAGGTTTCACCCCACACACTCAAAAAACACACATTCAGCATTAATGGTAACAAATTCATTCTTCTTTCTGAGGTACAGATTACATTTAGCTCATCTGGCATGAGAGAGAGAGAGGGAGAAAGACTGTATATTTAAAGCAGCTACTTAGAGCTAGTTCTAATATTGTGCAATGAGTGATAATTTATTTTGGTTGACTAGCAATTTTGGAACGCAGAACAGTGATGATCAGATAGCAGGAGCTTAGCTGAAATGCAAAGACATCAAAAGTAGTTGAAGTGGGGGTACCACCTTTTTTGGGATCAGAACTCTCAGAATTGCCCAGTCAGTCACTGACCTCTGGACCACAACTGGTTGCTAGTCTTTGAAATTAAGGTCCTAGTTTTGTTTGCAGTGCTAGGGAGAAAGTACATTCTAGATGATGCAGGAAAGTGAGAGCTGACCATAGAGAAGGCTGACTACTGAAGAATTGATGCTTTTGAATTGTGGTGCTGGAGGAGACTCTTGCGAGTCTCCTGGACTACAAAGAGAACAAACCTATCCATTTTGAAATCAAACCAGAGTGTTCATTGAAAGGACAGATTCTGAAGCTGAGGCTCCAATACTTTGGCCATCTCATGAAAAGAGAAGACTCCCTGGAAAAGACCCTGATGTTGGGAAAGTGTGAAGACAAGAGGAGAAGGGGACGACAGAGGACAAGATGGATGGACAGTGTCATCGAATCTACCAACTTGAATTTGACCCGACTCCAGGAGGCAGTGGAAGACAGGAGG